CCCCCCCCCCCTCCGGCCATTTTCCGCCGTAAGCGCACGCATTATACTTGTAAATAAAACGCCGCGGGTCCGACGATGTCGAAATTCAATTTCGGATATTGCCCCGCCGCCGTCGCGCGCGCGCGCCCGCCAGCATGTTGCCGTTTGTTGTTTCACGGCGGGCGCGACCCGCCAACCGAACGGGAGGAGACCGGGCCGTGATGACGTTCCGAACAATACAACAACGATAACGATGACAATTAGTCCGGGCGGTCGTTACGTTTCCGACACGAACAGCGCGGTAATATTTCAATCGCGGCGACGACGACGGCGGAACGATTGTTTTCTACGTCAATTGCGACCACAGCGGCACGGCGAGTGATCTGTAAACGTCACGCGGATGCGGGCGCGCACACGCGGCCGTCGGTGTGCGTGTGCGTTTTAATTATTATAATTGTCGTCGTCGTCGTCGTCTGCGCGCGGAGATTTCTGGCGGCGAACGGACGTCGCGCCCGGTGCGCTTTACGAATCCCCGACCGCGTGCACGGGAACGCGCGCGATAAGTTCGCCCCGCGTCGGTCTTATCGGATTGTTACGGCAGGAAATTTTCGCAGACTCTGCAGAGTCGACGAATTTTCTACCGCCTTAAAATCCCGCCCCGAACGAAAAACGACAAGCGAGAGCTTTCCCCCCTCCCCCCCCGTAGCATTTCCGATCTATGATCCGCGATCTTCGGGCGGATCGGGGTTTTTTTCTTCTTCCCGATTTTCGGTATGGTTAGTTGCACAATAATAACCGGAGAAAACCGCTACAATTTTCGATTTTGGTTTTGTTTTTTGTAATTCGGTTCACACGACATTCGTAGACACCGGAAATTTTCGCAAACACGTTTCGACGTGAACACAATTTGTTTCGCGAGCAAGCGATTTCGAAAATTTGATACTAGGCCGTACATCATAAGCTTTACAGGCTCTTACTGATCTTATTTTGTAAGCGGGTTCACTCGTTGACAATAATCATAATTGTTCTTCTTCTTTCAGAAGCTTTCTCAGACCATTCAAGGTGCTCGCCGCTTCCGGAACTTCCCGCCAGCTGTCCCTATTGTCGTTCGCTTCTTGCTCTATCCCTTGTGCCACCTTTTGCAGCAGATTACAGGTGCGCTCTCAACGAGTCAATTCACCTTTGCCAGAGGCGGCCTCCGGGTCTTCTCCCGTTGACTTCTCCTACCAGCGCCAATAGTAATAATTTATAACGAATAATTTTGGGCGATGAGTAATCCGTCTGAACATTATAAACTGTTATCTAATCGTTCGTATAACCGTTCATAATTTATTACGCCGAAGTTTTTTTTTTTTTTTCGTGGCGCCGGTTTCCTATATTATATCATTGTCGACGTGTCCGACTGTCCGTATTTTGAATGGGAAACGAGATACTGGATATCTGTAGAAAAAACTCGTACAACTCGGACAATAATTGTCGAACAATTTCTACAAACGATTATTTATTACGTGACGGTAAAATCACCGTTAAAACCGATTTGTTCTTAAACCGAATTGCACCAATTGACGGCCCCGAACGAATATTAATAATTGTACAGTATTTTAACACCGTTGTCTCTCGAATAATCATAACAGTGTGATTAACATTTTTTCACGGCGAGTAAATCAATATTTGGGAATCTGCACGTGTATCGAACGGCACGTGGAATTTCTCACAGAACCGACGCGCGCGTGAACCTGGAAAATGTCCGAACTCCGACCTGACGCGTTTCTCACGAAAACCGTCCGGCCATTTCACCTCGACCCCCGCTATCTAAAAAAATACAATTTTACCACCTATTGTGCATCTTTGTCCTCCGCGTATCAACGCGCCCGATTCCGATACCGCCGCGCCGACGTGGACGATAAGACCGTAATGTGCGGCGGAGAATTTATAATTCCGTGATGTTTTTGTTCATATCTCGTTGCGTTTTCATCGTAAACGACGGCGGTTCGTTTTCCCGTGTGTTATCGGAACGGCTACGCCTGCACATCATTTTTTTTTTTTTTTTTTTTTTTTTCGTAATCAAAACGATTACCGAAAACACGGAATATTTTATCGGGGAGGGGGGCAGGGGGAATAAAAAACCGAGTGCATATCGCAACGGTCGTAATAATATTCATAAATAATAATAATAATAATACCAAGACCTACCAATAAACTCTGTGGCGAGACGACGCGTACCATTGATTGTCATCGTGTTCTCGATTTCCTGTTATATTACATCACGGACACAGACGATAACGCATTTATCAAAAACGTATAGACGTACGTATTATAAATTACGATTATTATTATCGCTACCGAGGGCGGTTTTCGTTGCGTTTTACCATAATATAGTCAACGCCGACATTATAATGTACGAGGTTTCATATTATATTATAATTTACAAATGGTTTCGTAATAGGTTTCGTATATTGTTATAGTTTAACCGATACGAAACTGAAGTTTTATCATTATCATTATTTATTTTTTTTTTTCCTTCTGTAGAATAATAATATTTGATCAATTTTAAACGAATACGAAAAAACCACGAGTTTCGAATCTCAGGTGGTTATAATGAAATACCGAAGCGCCATTGTACATAGGAGGGCGGGGAATACGATTTTTCGTCGTCTGCTGTTATTTTACCCGTTTAGATTCTGAGCGAGGAGAGAAACGTTTTGGCTCTACTATCGCGTGTATGCGATTTATTCGTTTTCGTATGCGTCCAAATTTTCCAAAACAGAAATCGTGTTCTAATCAAATCTGATTGAAATTTAGTTTCTCAATTATTTTTAACGGAAATATTTCTCTACAGTATTTGAATATTAAAATGTTAAAGTGAGAAAACGAGAGTGCGAAGTGATTCAAATTTTTTTCGATTTCTACAAAATAAACGAGACATTATAGAAATGACCCGGTGGAGGAAATAGTTGGCCCGATTCAAATGTTTGCATCCCTGTGGAAAAACTGAAATGACGGCCTTGTAATACAAGTGGTGGGAAAACGATTGTTGCATTTATTGCTAAAATCGAAGAAATCGAATTCAAATTAAACTTTTACACTTTGATGCGGGTCGGCGTCGACCGAAAAAGTGTAAAAGTAAAGTTGTTGCCTTATCAGCCCGTTCTACGGCACACGATAATAAATCCGTTGCCATTGGTGGTTGTTGGATAGCCTACCTAACACGCCCGAAAACCCGGTTGTGCCGATTAATCCCACTAAACCGTAGTATTTTGTAATGATTTCAAGTTTTAAACACGGGTAAAAAAAAAAAAAAAAAAAACAACTTTTTCGTAACCTAATCGAAAATAGCCGACGTAAACCGTGTATTGTCGATAAAACAACACGACGAATAGTCGGTAAATTCGTTACATTATGACCGTTATGATTATTACCCCGTCACATTATCGTTACTGTCTTAAATTATCGTCATTATTATAAGCGACGATTTGATAAGCGGTTGTTTCCGGATCGTGCATCACGCGCCGGGAAAAAAAAAAAAAAAAACCGTCGATTGACGATAAGTGCCGAACGATATTATTTTTTTATTTTTTTTTTTTTTTTTTCTATTAAACGGCGCGCCCGGGAGATATTTTATCAAACGGCGTGCGGTGCTCGCGTTAAACATTTAACAATGCCCGTATAAACAACGCGCGTCGCACAAATACCGACCGACGCGAATCGACAATAGGCCACACAATGGCGTGTTTATTATATCGAGTGTTGCGCGGCGGCTGTTGTCCGCCGGTTAGATCGAGACGGTGCCGGCGATACATTATTTTCGTCACCAGAATTGCGCACCACGGAATTGTGCATGGCCGCGGACGGGGGGGGAGGGTTTGGTAGAGGGGGCACGTGCGCGTTATTTTTTTTTATTTTTTTTCTTCGAAAAGATAACGGGGCCCCACTGAACAGGTTCCTTCCGCCCTTTCACTTTGAAATATGTGCTATCTGACTATCAGCTGCTTTTATGAAATCCGACCAAGATTTTATACGCGGTCACTGTGAAAAGGTATACGAGTTCGGAGAAAATTATAATAAATAGGACGTTTTTTTTTTTTTTTTTCAATACAGTCAAAGAAGCTTAAGTTAGAGTCCCCTCGCGTCTTCCACACCATTTCAACCCCTGGTCATATAATATATATCGGGTTTGTCAATATTGGTGACACGTGCAGAGACGACTATAAATACTATATTGGTACTATAGCAGAGCGATCCCTTTTAGTGGAAAATAGGAAACAACACGTGCCGTTTATGACTATCGTTTCGGAAAAAAATGAATGGGGCGAAATCGAATGAAATTAAGAGCAGAGGAATTTGTCTTTCGGCAGATATTCGACAGTTAATCTAGCAAAGGTCGTATCCAAGGGAGGAATCCAAGGGATTTGGACACCCTTCGAAATTTCTCCAATGTTAACATCAGTATAAATATTTTCAAAATAATAAATGGGCCACTTTTAAATTTCAATTAAATTGACTATGGACCGTCTATATCATATATCCCTAAATTATCCCTAATTTTTTTTCTTATAAATTCATCTATAAAAAAAACTCTCGAGTTTGGGCTAAATATATTCAGAGGGAGTCACTAAAATAAATGTCCAAAAGTAACAGGAAAAAAAATGTATAAATATTTAACAAACACGGATCAGACTATTGTCTTTACTTTCACTGAAAATTTGATAAAAACACGAATGTTCGCGATAGTACGCCGTGATAGTATCATCACGCCGAAATCGTGGACGCCGATAATTTATTACCCACTCGAACTAGTTTTTATGTCATAATGAAATATTTGAAATTAATTAAATTGAATTAATTTGCGTGGATTATTAATTATTTCTGATGGGCACAGGGTACAGGGTCGCGGATATGATGCGTTTATTTCGCATAATGATATTCTCCGAGGACTCGTTGAAGTGCAGCATGTCGACATTATACAGATCGAATATAGGCTTTGAACGCATTTCAGTAGGTATAAATTATGCGCATAAAAAAATTCATAAAATTGAATATTGTATTTATCGGAAGTTATATCTCATATAAACTATTATAATATGCATATGTTTATGCATGTTTATGTTCATTCATTTTTTTTTTTTTTGTTTTTCCTTGAAATACTGTCGATAATTTAGAATTCTAGAATAATATTATAGTAGTATGTTTTGAATAAATAAGTATCACAGAAAGGAAAATATCTACATACTTTATAAGCTTTATAGACATGCAAAATGGTGTGAAAGTTTTGTGGAGTTTTTTTTTTTTTTTTACTAAACGAAAATATGTTTTTATAAGATAAAAACGCGCCTTATAGGAAAACAAAAAAAAATCTCAGAAATATTGAACCGAAAAATAACGAGCCGATGCCGTTGTCGTATGTGCTAACAGTTATAGGTTGAAAGTTGTGGAGATATAATATACAGAGTAAATAATTAATTTACACCAGTGTGCAACGATAAATTATTGCTAATGAAATACCGTTCCGAACGAAATAAACATGATTGCTTTGAACTGCCGTGATTTTCATTTAATTATGATAAGAAAACTACTACATTACGCTAATTTTTTTTTTCACAATCGAAAATAATTTTTGATAAATTTTCAAACATTTCAGTTTAGTCAAAAACAAATATTCACACAAATAGAAAAATTTCGTGATTTTACGATTTCCATTCAAATTTGAATTTTTATGCGTAAGTAAAAAAATAATACATATTATGTGAAACCTTTTTTTTTAAAACACTACTTACATAAATACAACTTAAGTGTACAATTCGTAATCATTTTTTGGTGGTTCAAAACAATTTTATTTACATAAAATCAAATAAAAACGGAAAAAAAATTTAAATAATGTCAAACACCTATAAAAATACCTAGTGCGAAAATCGCTAGAATAATGTGAAAATTTATTGTTTCTACAATTATTTTTAACCTTTAACATTTAAAAATCAAAATCAAAAATAACGAAATCAAGTTATCGTCGTGAATTTTTTTACGCTTTTCCTGGTTTTTTAAATATTAGGAAAATCCAATTTTGCTTTCAGTTGAGATGACCTTTGGAGCACATTTCTGGTAGAAAAGTTGTTTACTAACAAAACAATTTAAAAATTAAAAACACATGATAGTTAAACCGAAATAGATACATTTCTAGCTATGTCACTGAATCTAAAACTTAAACGAATTTCAGAAAATTATCAAAACCGATACACTTCCAACATACATCATTCACGAAATTATTGCACATCACGTAAATCGTTATCGATGACTAGTGATATTGAAAATACTTATTATAATAATATTACAGACTGTCAACGACCTTTCGACCATCAGCTTGTGTCCTGTCATTCCTTTATCGTCGCTCGCCTATTCATTAGTAAATTATTTTTGCTACAATAATAATTTATATTAAAACTAATACTACCAACTTAAAACATAATAATTCCGATTCGAGTGGATTGATCAAAATGTAATCGCGTAACTATGTTATTGTGGGGCTCGGACACTTTTTCCGAAAATTAGAATCAATATTATCATAATTCCCATTTAGGTTTGTTGTTTTTAGCGAGGGAGGAGGGAGGGAGGGGAGCACAGTAGACAGCACAGTCGATTTTCAAAACGTTCACTGGGTGATTTTCAATGAAATCGGATGGAATGAGTGAATCGGCGGACGTGTGAACGAAAGGGACATTAATATACATAGATAAACTTAGATATTCTCGAATTTCGTTAGTTTTTCTCGTATATTGTTAGAATTAAAACTACATATTAAAATGAGTACTTAGGTGATCGACTTACATATTGAAGTTGTGTCGGTATCTGTCGATTTCCTCCTTCAAGCAAGCAGTGACAGAGAAATCAAGTCTACACATAATATAGTTTTCGACCATTCTTCAGGCCAGTGGCGTATATATGATTTTTCCGAGATATTGATTTTGGAAATGTGCTGTCTTGTATAAAGTGTACCCAGGCTGAAATAAAAGATACATTTTTAATAATTTATACATAATATATTTGTAAGTAATTTATAACTCAACCTGTCCGAGGGTGATCATTGAAATCAAATTACTAGGTATAAAAAGTTATTTATTTTATTTACTATTTCGGTACCTACTAATTAACCTCCTTCAAGTTATTTAATGATTTGGATAGGATTCGTTGTATACGGGCAAATTTATACGTTCAGGTTTTTTAAAATATTAACCATATATAGATACAGATACAAATACATACAATTGTAGTTTTTACTCATTAAAAAGTAAAGAAATTCAAATTTAAAAATAAATAAGCACTTGTTCACACAAATAATAGGTACCAAAACAAAAACAGATAAAGGGAAGATATATCGCCTTAATATTCCTATGTAAATTGCCGCCGTTTCAAACGACCTAAGGAATAATAAATTGCAATGATACAAAAGATGTGGGTACCTTTAAAATGTATTTGTGGCGTAAATATAGAATACATTTTTTTTAAAGTATTTACTTTAAATACTACTCGATTATTCAGATATGGATTTGCGCGATTTTTGTTTTATTTATGGACATTTTAATTTTGCGAGTTTTTATTTGGTAGATAAATGGTTAACAATCGTTATAGATACCTATTATAGATCAACCGTTATATACTCTTTAAATATCTATATCTATATATATTGGTTATTAACATTGAAATTATTTGGAAATTTAAGTGTTCAAACATAATATTATATATTTTGTATTTGAAAATCAAATATAACGCTGAACGCCGGCTGTTAAACACACGTAGTGAACGTTGTCGGTTCTATTCGATAATGTGCAGACTTGCAGTTTATTATTAGTTTTCGATATTTAACGAGAATATTATTAAATTACGGAAAATAATATAAGAATACTGTGCAGCCGAACATTTTGGAGAAAACTCATTAAACCGCCACCCTCTCTTACCCCCCCCCCCTAAAAAATGTGACGCTTAAGACACGACGGTATTTTTAATTTGTATTCACTGCCTGTGTGAAATTTTTTATTAAACCATAAATCCGTACCGGATGTTGTACCACGTGTGGAATACACCGTCACCACGCAACCGTGTTTAAGGTCGATTATTACGATGCTTTCGTTTAACGCGGTAATAATTATTCGGTTTAGTTTTTGGCGGTTTTTTTTTAACCGTTACAATGGCTTTACGGCTGATTTACGCGTGCATTTTTTTTCATAGTATAATATTATTATCTCACCGATGACGCGTAAATAATAATAATTAAAAATATATATATTATTATTATCACGATGGCGTTATTTGTTAATAGTTTCAAATGATGACAAATTAATGAAAAAAAAAAAAAGAAAGTATTAACGAATCAAAAAAAATCAGTAAATCAATCTGATTTTTTAGCTCAAACGTACTTTACAGTAACAACTCTCATGCTTTGTAGGGCGTGGTTTAAATTACGATCATTTTTTTTCCTTTAGGAAAGAGGAAGATTTTTGATTATGTAACTAAAAACAACTTACAAAAAAGTTAAAAGTTATACAATATTCAAACTCTAATGTAATAAAGTTTAGCAAGTATAATTTTTTTCAAAATCCAAGTTTGGATGAGGATGATCATGAATGAAAAATGATCAAGAATGAAAATGATCACTCTACTGGTCATACGAGATTTTTTTATAAATGCATGTTTTTGAAAAAGGTCACCTTAAAGGCCCCTTAAAGTAAAACATGTAATCATGCGTGTTGCTAAAAATATAGTTTGGCCGGAAGTGTTTTTTGTTGTTTACATATATACATTTTTTTTTTATAGTATGTTATTGTATAAAGTTAACTATAGAATAATGCTGGTAAACAAATTCACCTGGACGGTGTTTTTTTACCGAATGTACGAGTCAAGTGTGGTATTTTTTTTAAAATTTAAATGATGTGGAAACGATAGAAAATTAGCGGAAGCCGTGACTCGTCGCCAGGTCAAATTTAACATTTTAGTATTATCACTAGGTATATACACGACTCCCATAGTGCTGTAGTTATTATTATTAAACATTATAATACACTGCTCAACTACGCGACAATAACATTACTGTCCTACAAATAAAATTGCTACCGAAAAACTCTCCCGTCTACGTCAATATTAATATTAATATTATTATAAGTATGTAGTGTAATCAGTGGCGGGCTGTATTCGGGTCTCGTGTGACAGAATGATTCTATATAGTATTACGGACAGAATTTTTCAGAAATTCTAATGTAGAAAATCGGGGTACGTACCGGGCCCTTTAGAATATAATGAATTTTATACCTGTAGCGTGCTTAAGAGCGAGGAGGAGGTTAAGTCTCCTTCTCTCCCATCGAGGAAGAAAAATTGCACAGCCATGAGTCTAAATTTTGTATCCATGTTACAACAAAAGTGTTGATTTGCCGAATAAAAGTCTGGTCCCAATACGTTTATTTGTTACGTCACGTGAGCATTTCATAATATAGTTGGTTTTTTTTTTCTGAGATACTGAGCGTAGCGAGAGATTTATCAGCTTTATTATCATCATATTAAAATTATGTATGGTTTTTTATTTTGTTTTATTCGTTCATTAAAAATGCAACAAAAAAATGTCTAATTTTGTTCCCTGCTTTTCCCGATTATTTTAAAAATCCCTGGGAAAAAATATTATTTTTTTAATGCACCAAACTAGATCAAAAATAAAAAAATAAAAAGGTCTCTTGAAATTTTTCGATTGATACAAGATTTCTGGTAGAAAAGTTGTTTACAGACAGAAAAAAAACAATATAAATTGTTTTTTTTTTTTTAGTATGGCCTATTTATTTCGAAAATCTTTCATAAAAATACTTTTCTCTGTTTCAAAAATTGAAAGCATCAATATTTGGTTATTGATCATTATTTATAGAGTATGTACAACTCTCTAATCTCAATACAGATATCTATACATTTTACCCCGTCAATTAATTTCTAACAAGACGTTAAATATTATCGTTCTAAAATACGACCGTATATGAATGTATTTTCTAGTAATGATAAAAGATTGATAATAACTCACAATATAATATTGCGTACATATATGCGAGAAGTTTGCTAAAAATATTGTGTTTAAAAACACAATATTTTAACTTGTTTGACGTGCGGTGTGCGTATACGTGCAGTATATAAAATAAAATGATGATTTATCGCGTGTTCCGTATACTCGTATATAATTTTGAATTACGAGCTTTACACCGCAGAACTTCTCTACGAATATAATATTATTATTTCAACCAAAATACCGTATCGTCTTCCGACTCCGGGGTATACCGCGTACAATGTAAATATTATAATAGATAAATATCATATTATTATAAACAGCGTATATCGTTATGTTGACGATAATATCGATGATACGCGTAATCAGGGTTTTAAACAAGCCTTTATACATATAAGTGTTCAAAAAATTAATTCAAATGACTAATATGTCCTGAAGAGTCCTGAAGATATTTGTGAAAATAATTCTGTGGCTTGGTGCAAGAAGGGCCGATGTAACATATTATGATTGTTGGGAAACGGGCTTCAAATTCTAATGCTCCATAAGTCTTTGTGTGTTTGGTTAAATGTAAATGCTTGTGTAATTTTCAGTTTTTTCAAAAACTTAAACGCGAGAAAGTAAAAAATTGTACATTTTCCTTTTTTTATTTCTAACTGATTTTTTTAAAAAAAATTGATATTGGCAATTTATAAAATGTATTATTTTCGAATCGTAAATATTACGGCTTTTTATAAAACGTGTAACCGAACTCCGCTCAGAACCGTTTTTCGTCATCAACGGTTTATCGTTGGTTACAGGTATAAATTGAATAACTTTATGTATCCCACTTTTCTAAGTACCCACCTAAAACAGTGGCCAAACCCACCTTCAGTATCAGCTATTTTTTTTTTTTATATATAAAACTATTAAAACTGTTAAACAAGCCGGCAATTAAAAATATTTCACGTATTTTTGTCGTTTATTATACTTGTATTTATTCATTTTATGTACGTTTTTTTTTGTTAGTACTAACTTGCAAGTTTTTACTGTTTGTGTTTTTATACTTTTTGTATTAATAGTTTAATAGTTATAATACTGTTTTCCATATTGGAAGGAGTATATTTGAGAGGGAGAGGTGAAACCACGCCTTTTTCATACCTACTAATCGATTTTTAGTTTTGCCGTAATCTGCCCCCTTCCCTCCAAAAGTTTACCCCGGATTATTACGCTTATGCATTTACATTTACCTCTCGGATACGGAGTGTAATAACCATACGCCTAATGCATAATTATTACGCATTAGGGAAACCGAGTTGTACATTTAGAAATTCGAATTAGAAATTTGTTATAATTTCCTTTATCTATCTCTCTCTATCTGCAATATCTGTCGATTCGAAAGGCAAACACACGTGAGCGTGCATCCGATATCGTCATAATAAATAATATTATTACGCTCGTAATCCTGGCTATCTCGTGTAAATACCGTCCGACCCCGTTTCCCACACGCGGTTCCGTTTTTAATCGGCCCGATAATTTTATTTTATTACTATCGTCCCACCATATATATGTATAAAAAAAAACATTTCCTGCACATAAGCTCTTTCCGTCCGACTATCTATGTGTATAAATTCCACACGCGGGAAAAAACGGGGTCATGATGAGCCCTCCGTCGTCGGATTTTTACATTTTTCTTTTTTTTTTTTTTTTTTTTGTTTGCCCTTGCGATCAAATATAAAATTATTAATAAATTTGATCCGCCCCATCCGCGTTTTTTCACCATAGCTCGTAGGTCATAATAATACGCCATTTATCTATATAATAATCTACCGATTATTATTACTGCGTGAACTAACGAGAAAGGGGACGAAGAACAAAAACGATTTCGTTAAACCGTCGACGCCCTACAGTTTTTTCATCAAATATATCGCTGCAGTAGACCGGTATAGGTAACCGTAATATTTATATAGTTTCTATGGATATTATTTTTTTATAGCCGAATTATATAAAATAATAGCGAGCGTAAAACCGTATGGGTTTGGCATAAACAGCTAAAGGTAACAAAACGTATCCAAATGGATTTTCGAGGCAATGCTAGATTATTATTACACGTCTTATACTGTAATATTGTAATAATTCCGAAATAAAATATAAAATACCCCGATCGAAAAAAGTGTTGGTTAACTTACTGTTCATTTTTCGGCGAGTTTCTTTACGCTGGTTATCTAGCTATGACGCAACAGGAGCAACATACCAAGTATGATAAATAAAACGAATTTTTCATTCAACACTTCGATGCTGACTATTGAAGAGAATATCAAAACGGACATTTTCAATATGTTAACTTGAAATTTCGATTACCTGCGATTTCGTTACGATTGATCAGACCGCAATGTTTTGTAGTGTCATTGAATAACACATTGTAAGAAAAATGGTAAAGAAATTGTAGCCACAGTACTACTACGGTCATCTGGAGCAACCAAACGTCGAGAAAAAAATCGGGAAAACGCGAGTTTGGTCCCGAGATATTTGATCACCTAAAATAAACACGAGTTGGGTCCGCGGTGTTATTTGATAATACTCGAATTGGATCCGCGGTAATTTCCGGCACGTGTCAAGGCAACTACAAATCGCACCACAAATAGTTGTGAAAGTTTTCATGCAAAATTAAATGCTAGTATCCGTGCAGCCCACCATAACATTTTTGTTTTTAAATAGAAATTTGTGTTTCAATAGAAATTTTACTTGGAATTCAGAGTGAAATTTACGTATCATTTTGGAGCTTAGCCACCAGCCAGTAAAAAAAAAAAAAAACAACAGATATTTTTAAGAGGAAAGACGCTTTGTTTTACTATCGGAGAATTGGCCCGGTTAAATTTTGTAAAATACGTGTTTTTTTTAAATTTATTCCCTAGCGTAAACTTATTATTAATTTATTATAATACAAACAATTACAAATGGGTGGATCACATTTTGAAATAGTGAACTGGAGAAGCCGCACAGCATGGATAAAAACCACATAAATGCGATATGAAACTACGGTGTTGTGAAATTTCGAGATGGAATGTTAGACAACGGTGATTAATATTTTGCCGGGCATATTTTCCGACAACGCAAGCAATATCCGGTGAGTTAATACGCGTGTTCGAAACTATAACAATGACGGAAATAATAATATTGCAGTACGGCTGTTGTGAAACAATATTAGAGGTATTAAGTACGAATAATTCTAATTATGAAAATGATGTGTGCGTAAAGTTTGTAAAAGTCATATTATTATTATACAATGTGACGACGGAATAAAATATATATATATATTTATCGTATAGTAGGTATATTGTTCCTAAAGTTTTGATGAAAATCGTTCCGAACAAACTTAAATTAAATTGGTTCACTGCGTATAGTATATTATAATATTGTATAGGGTGTGTGTACTAAAAACAATATTCATTATTGTTTCATAAACTTCCGATGACTGTAATCATGTATGTTGCGCGCCGTTGTTTTACTGAAAACGCACAGCTGCGCGCATGTCGTGGAGTCCGTGGGTCGGAAAAACTACTCGTAAAACCGGTGCCTACTAATGAGAAATTTTATCGCGGAAAATCTAAAAGAACAAAAAAAAAAATGTTTCGAATATCATTGAGTCTATACGAGTATAGTGCATCAGTTTGTCAAATAGTATACACGATGATCAACATAACGTAAGTCACTCGTTGAAAATGTTAACATTTTCCGGAATTTGTTTATTAGAACATTTAAGAAACAAGTAGCTCTAAAATGTTATGACACTTTTTTTTTTTTTTTTATTCAGAAGATGAAACCATTATTTCCTTTTGATTTTCAAATGACAACCTACATCAATAGTTTCATGCATAGATTGTGTATTAGTTTAAATACATTTTACTGTTAAAATGTTTAATTTTTGTTCTAAGTCTCGGCGGAGAATTAGTGGTGCATCATTTGTGTTGCGGCACGGTGCACGGCGTTTTAATATTGTCCTACCACTCTCTTAAACCTTATTCTATCTAAATTTAAAAGTGGAATATATCGTCAACGGATTGACAGAACCAGCAATTCCAATATCAAAATGTATTTAACTAAACTCCATCGATTTATAGTACTTTTAGTATAGGTTGCCATTCGAAAATCAAAAGTATAGATAGTGGTTTCACATTTTAAACTAAGGGTGACAAAAAATAACTGTAATGTCATATTTTGGAGCCGTCTATAATACTTTTCGAGATAACGAGTATCTTATGTTATGTTGATCAGTGATCACCCTGTAGTTAGTTTTACACGTCTAAATACGATATTTTGAAACGTGAATAACTATTGTAATGTTCTTATTATTTATTGGAAGGAAAAGTTTATAATATTCTAAACCGAATATTAACTAAGTAGCTATAGATTTTATTTCTATCTGATAACCGATGGATTTTTTTTAAAATTCTGTCGTTTTCAATGTATTACTGCCGCGCGATTGGCTTTCCGTGTTATGCGCCTATATATCATATAATATACATACGATTATATTCAATTATTATTCGAACCGAAAATTGACTAGACTATAATATGGTTTATAAATATGTATATTGCTCGTTAGAATATATTACGGACGAAAGATGTGTTGTGGAAAAAAATATTATCAGACAAACCGAGGGTACCGGATGTGACGTAAAATCTAAATGTAAAACTCATCGAAACCTGTAGACCGATGGTATACAGAGTGATTGTTTTTATTCTCAGAAACTGGCGAGATTGTCTATTAAACAGAGATTTCGGGTGAATTTTTCGATTTACAATATTTCCGAAATTTTACTATAGTTATACGTATCGAAGATCTCGTGTAATATAAAATGTAGATTTTCAATTATAGCGGCCGCCCTCCACGTCATGATATTTGAAGAACCGAGGTTTGAAAACCTAATATTTTTTCTAAAAACTTTGATACCCATAATTTATTGAACTGAACGAGTATTAGGAATACGGTAAGGTAATAACTTTCACGTCCGCATTGAACAATGCGATGAAATACTTAGGATTCCTCCGTTTTCAATAACTTGCGATTATATATATGTGAGACGGACGAAAAAGTTTTATACCCCCTCCGAGAACGTACAATATAATATAGGTAATAGTTTTTCTTCTCCTTGCTCAGCTTGTCGATCCCTCGAGGACCATTGCTGGCATTACGATGCCGCTCCCTTCTGTCTCATCGTACGCTAAATAAAAATTCGTATTCTATTCTATATCATTTAAACAATACCATCCAACTAGCGGGTTTTGGATCTTCTTAACGGTCGTTTTGTGTTTATTTTATTTATCAATTCCTCTTTTATTAACTTGCCATCAGCCCACCAAATATATTTGAAGCGTTCTAGGCAATTGCTTTTTACGAAAGATAAAATTATTTTGTCCTTTCACTGATTTCCTTTCTGTAGGTCTGTGAATATTTTTCTATTTACTCGTAGGGTTTATTTTCTCTCGTATGTGCTTTGTTTTGCATATTATTAATACAAATGACAGCGTTTGACTAATATATAATTTAACATTATTGAAGAAAAACGAAATTGCAACAAAATATTCTCACGAGTAGGAAGGTTCGATATAGACAGCACATGATATTTTTTACAAAATTACTTGAGAAATAATTTATCTAAATCGTGAATAATGGCTAATGGTGCGTCCTCAAAATATCCCTCGTTCAAAATATCCCCGTTACAAATATCCCCGGTAAACAGTTAAACATATTCTATGTTGCGCGAAAATTTGATTTGATGAATAATACAGCATTCGATTGGGACGAATTTACAAGCCTAACGCATACAAACAGTATAAGGCGGAAGTTCGAAAAATAACATACATAGGTATAATACATAAGGTACTCGTGTGTGTGTGTGTATATATTATTGTATTATATAATATTATACGATCCACTTTAAACGGAAACTGAAACAACATCACTCGTATACAAGTATAAGTAAAAAGAAAAATATATATGTATGTAATATAAGAGTACTGGAGTGAAATATGATATTGTTAAACCAATATGACGTCCCGAGTACTTTAGAATATTGCTCTGTTCCGACTTGCCGCATAATGTACCTGTATAATATTTAGGTATATATATATATATATACCCTACGCTTCGTCAATATAATATTCTCGTGGTCCCCAGCGGACGAGGACATTATATTGACACTCGAGCGGAGAAACGAATCGTAAACAAAATGTCTATACAGATACCTATGTATACATGAAAAGATTCTACTAGTGTTTTCGAGGAAGCTCTATGATTTTCTAAAAATTTAATCGTGACTTCGAATAAACATTTTACTATTGACATTAACAATCTAAATTATTAACTAAAAAGACCGTCGGCTTATTTCTGTGTGCGATCCGCACCACTTGTCAAAGGCCTGAAAGCGGACGAACGGGTCTGCGAGGTACACCTCGATGACAGATTTCCAAAATTTAACCTTTAAAGGATGGTCGACATAAGAATAAAAAAAAAAATTAAAAAAAATATCGACCAAGGAAAGGGCCACTTTTTTAACGGAATATAATGCTGGCCAACCAATAAATAGGCGTAGAGAAGAATATCCACGTAAATGAGAAGAAAATGTTACGATAGTAAAATAAATAAGAGGAAGTCTAAAGGGTGTGTTTATAATTGAGAAAATAACGAAAAAAAAAAAATGATTTGAACGCGTATCCAGGAGAGAGGATAATCAAGAGAGTTCAAGAATGACAGGTACAGACAAAGCGGATAGCCGTGGAAGACCAAAGAAAAGATGCATGGACTATGTGCACGAAGACACGAAAAACGTAGATACCATTCCACAGGATGCGACGGATTAACTAGTGTGAAGGAAACCAGATGCGAAAATAGGCGCCCGTATAGATGGAAAATAATAAATTCGGAAATTTCGCCCCACCAGAGCAAATAATACACGATATACCTAATAAAACGGCGCCACTGCGCGGTATCGCTTGAATTAATATTTTTTATTTTACGGAAGTCGTTCAAAATTGTGTTGAAACCGATACGCTTTAGTTCAATTTACGCGACGACGCGACGGTGATTGTCTGGCGTTGCAATTGTTGCGTTATGGTAACAATCACAGATAGATACAGCGTCCATTCGACGATAAAATGAACCAAAGTGAATTTCGATAGAATAAGAAACTGCGAAAGTGCGACACGACAGTAAAACAGAAAACGCTAGGTGTGTATTCGCACGGCGGTATTATAGTTTCTACCGCTCTCACGATAGTCTCGCGATAAAGTAAAGTATACGCAATTACGATAGTCCGATATATATGGGTATACTATAGGCTCTATCCACACAACGACAATCCGTGGTGTAGTAACGATAGTAGTGAATTTCAGAACTATCGCGATAATGCGTGGACCAGGCTTGAAATAACATTTTTTTTTTTTTTTATTATTATTGATGGTTGTGATTGCGTCGTGGGTTTTAATACGGTCGAACAATAACTCAAAACTCGTATGATATAATGTTATATGCAATGACGTGTCATCGAAAATATTTTCATAGATACGAATTAATTGACAATTAAGTAGCGTATACCATTAAAGCGTTTTATCGATTAACAAATTAATGATAATTTTATTGCTTTTTAACAAGCGCGCGATCGAGAGAATAGAAAATCCTAGTAGATATTTCACTAAAAAAATGTAACATACCGGCGGCGTAAGCAGTATATCAACAAGTTTTATGAATCACAAAAAAAAAAAAATTATAATATTAATAAAAACGCGTTTTTTTTGTTCGCAATACGGATATTATTTTTTTTATTAAAATACGATATTACATCGACTTTGGTATAGGTTCGACGCAAATTAGCCGTAGGGTTTTTATACGATTCAGAACGACGTATAAAATAATATTCGGTTGAGTTTTTGAAATCGTTGCTCGTCATCGTGTACCGACCCCTAGGATTTTATTACAAGCCATAAATTTTGTATACAACATTAGAAACATATAATATTGACTACGTCCCGTATTTAAGGGATTACGTTTAAGCAATAAAATTAAAACGTTTATTTATTTATTTCTTTCTGAACAAATAAAAAAGGATATTGATAGGTTCAAAACGTCCAAATCCATTATAATGCACACGTTCCCGAGTTCCATTTTCGCAAGTATATTTAACGGTTAATCGTGAAATCTGTTCTAATGTATTTTTCACATTATTCAAAAATCTTCCAAAATGATAGAGATTTTGCTTTGTATTGCAAATGGATGGGAAGTCAGGATTTAATTTATATCTGTACGCAACGATAAACGATTGCTAATGGACAACGATTCTGAGCGAAATTTCGTTTTATAGGTATGTTTTGAAATGTCGTAATTTCTACGATTGTTATCAAAAATTGAATTTAAAACTATTGCATTTGGCTCGACTTTTCTTTTCTTGACACTAATTAAAACTTATAAATAAATTTCGTGATACAATGTCAAGCATTTAAATTTCAATGAAATAAAAACTAAAAAACCGATAAATTATTAAATTCCTATAAATAGCTTAGAAACCGCCAAATTATTTTGAACATTTTACCACTTATGGAAATCGACCACATAAATATTCTGTTAATATTTCAGGATTCGACGATTATTTTTATTTGAGCTAATATAAAAAAACGAAAATAATGAAATTTTTTCTACGTTTTTTCTTTGTTTTTTTTAATATATTATGAAAACTGTTTGGAAAACCAAAGAACGATCTGCTCAACTGATATATTATATTAATGCATTACTTAGAACCGAAGTCTAAAGAAGGTTTCATGTCATTTTTTTGGTTGGAAAAATATTGTGGGAAAAAAAATTTGCTCACAGGGCCAAAAAAATTAAAAATAAATAACAAAATCGCACACATCATTTAATGAATTTATGAATTACGCACAATTTTTTTAACCATGAAAATGCGACCTTTGATGAATGTTCAATATATTTTGTGCACGTATGCAGGGCCGAAACAATTTTGTTTACTTAAAACAAAATTAAAACAAATAAAAGATTTTCGATTGAAAAGCTGTTAACAGACTGTAGAACAAAACTCAGCATAGGAAAATCATTATTTCATTTCTCGCTATGCCAAGAATCTAAAAAAAAAAAAAGAACATTACGCCGCAGTATGTGAAGTGTTTTAATTTAGTATCGGGTAAACCTAATTGACCTGATTGTAGATACATATACACGAGACGGGAGGAAATCGTATTATACGATGATAAGTACAAAAAAATACATACATAGACGCGCGCGTAAAAAGTCAGGCCGCAACAACTTCGTCGTGTCAAGTGCACACTTTTGTAAGTACCGCACACTGTTTTACCAAGTGCCCCGGTCGTCTGGAAACAGCGTTTTAGTACCACTTACGCTGTATAATACTTACAAGAAGTTTCTGGGGCCAGGCTAAGTTTCTATATATATATAGATATATACGTAATTTATAATATACCTACAAATAGAGTATCGTCTTGTCGACTTTATATATTCCCTACATGTATATTTGTTAACAAACTAAATAACACGTCTCGACCTGGTGTTGTGCACTTAAATTACAAGTTAATATTAAAAAAAAAAAAAATGTATACTAGTATACTCTTAATATTGCAATTGCCGCACTGTCGTGCAAAAACAGCGACTCGAGTGCTGTCCAGTCTAAAGTGACTAAATTACGTTATGAACGTTAGTTATGATGACAAATATTATGCGTCGATTGGTACAGCAATCAGACAATTAATCCATATGTTAAGTTCAAAAATATTATATAAATGGATAAATATCTGGTTTTTCATTTGGCGCAACAGCAATTAGCAAGACATCTTCCGGAGTCATTTTGTTTTGCACCGAATAATGGTGGCATATTTTTGTTTGCAAGTTAAAAAAATCACTAGGGAATTTAACTGATTAAATCTATCTGGGAGATTGTATTTGTAGGAGTTTCTTCAGAATATTTTGTAAATGTTTAAAACAAATTTATGATTTACCAAAGGACTTTTTGTTGCTCCTGTACATGTACAATCTATCCTATTCGTATAACTATTGATTCTCGGTTGTTTTTAGTAATGGACTTTTTAATTAGTGGCTTCATTGCTTAAGTATTTGGCCCAGTTTGACTTGTTTGAATTTCATTGAATTAGTATTTTGGTTGATATTTGGCTTTTGGTTTTTGGAAAAAAAAAAAGAAATTACGTACTCAGTGGTATTCGGATTTTCATATTTTCCGATCGATTTACACAATTTTTATCGACGTTTTTAAACTTTTAAAATAGAATATACAATTCAAACGCCACGAAACTATGTGTAGCTATTTCTCGCAAATACATGAAAATCTGTTTTCAAGAATTTTTTTTTAGTACCATTTTACTAGCCACAGAAATGTAAACAAATAACGATTTTAACATAATAAAATATTGGACAATTAAAGACGATAATTGTATATACAAAAAAGTATCATTTCGAAATAGTTTCTGATTTTAAAAACTGGCCAGTCACTATAGTTAAAAAGTTAAGCTATAAGCGAGGTTCAGGACTTGGAGTGCCATGAAAATGTATGACATGTTACAAGTACAACGAGATTGAATATGACATTTGAAAGTGCATTTTTTTGCTTATTTCCAGTTGGAAAAAAAACTCTAGTTTTTTGGCATATATTTTTTATTTATGATTATGTATAAGTTTCAGATAAAAACTCAGATATTTTCTCATATGACATTTAAATAATTTCATGCTTTATATTTTATTTAAATAATGTTTGCGATTTTTTTCATTTGCCTGTTTTCTACTAATGATCTTAAGAGTTATACCAAATTTGAATACTAACTAATCCATTCGATAAATATACCAAAGTACAAAACAATGTAGCGAAGTCTAATTAAAAAAAAAAAGAAAAGTAACTTAGTTTAAACCTTAACTATTGAGTTATTATTTACCTGAAAATTTGAAACTTATCTTAGTAATACTTAAATTAATTTATAATAAAATCATTACTAACTTACCTTAATTAAAATGTATTTTAAAAAATGTGGAAAAGTCGTCTAGTTCATTCGGTGAATTTTTTTAAAAAAAAAAATACAATATCAATAACCTACTGACACATAGTATTACCTACAATTTCACTTTTCCGATAATATCGTGACGGTGACATTAATAATAAGAAGGCACTATTTCCCTACGTTATTCGTTGGACAACTCTAGGATAGGGATGGAGAGGAGAGTTCCGTTTATACCGTCGCTAAATATTTTATTTACTTAGTTTTCCCTAGATCTACCGAAACAATACGAGAATACCAGTTACTACCGGTTAGGCCGTAAAAAAAATTATATATATTTAAGTGCGGGTAATATAAAAATGCGATGAAAAAAAAAAAAAAAAACATAACCAAACTTTTATTGAAACACAGTGGTTTTATGCGTTTCGGAGACGGGAATAATGAAAGTTTTTATTGCCAAACGTTTCCTTGCAGAGATTGAAGAAACACAATAGTGTAAGTAATAAAATCATATTATATGAGCAAAGGTCTACTCAAAATATACCTATATAGGGAATTTTTTGTCGCTTGTATCCAGATTCGTAACTTTTTCTCACGTATATAATCAAAGTTGAAATTTTGTTTGAAGAAAAACCAAAAGGCTTTTAGTCTCCCCACGCCTCCCCTCGTATTAAATTTTCTATTCACTTCTACGGGTTCGGCTATTATTAATGTAAGTTCTGACGTAAAGAAAGTCGAATTCTATAGATAATTTCGGTCTTATTGATAAGACGAGTCCAATCATTTTAGCTTATACAAAATTTTACCGTCTCGAAGAGACGGTGTAACAATCAAATCAAGGAAAAAATTACGATTTGTTTTATTTTCCTGGTCTAATGTATCTATTTATATAATACAACTAAATTAAGTTTGGAATAATTTTTATTGTACAAACACAATATTATTTTTAACAAGCAAAAATTTTGTTTCCATTAAAATCTAACAAAAGACTTTTTAATTTGTGCATTAGGAAGGTCGTTATTTTAGACGTTCCTTGTAATATCGTTAATCTTGGGCGCAAATGTAGGAAAAACGCAAACGTTTATAAGGGATTAACGGTTTCATTATTTGTTAATTTCTGTTTTTCCGTTGTAATTTGACTAATAATAATGATCGTAAAGATCTGAAATTTTTGCAGAATATTTAATACCTGCCATTTTCTAGACGTGATCAATTTTTAAAAATATTCTAGCCATTTTTAAGTTATTTATAGGTATTTGATATTTTCGAATTTTTTTTTTTTCTTATTTGATTTTTTTTTTTATTATTATAATTTATTATTATTATAATTTATTTGATTTAATTGGGATACAATTCTTCGTTTCTTGAAAAGTTTTGAATAAACAAAGTTCGTTAAAAATCCAAAAAAATAGATTCCAAATAGTTCCAAATAAGTTTCAAATAATTGGTAAACATTTAAAGTCAATTGGGGTGTGGAGTACTTCACGCCCATGATTTAATTGCACACAGCCTTTTTAAATAAATTACTATACATATTTTTACCCTCACTATTATATTATTATCCAGACGAGAGAGAATGTAGGTCTTTAACTGAATAAACCGTTGAAAGAAAGCATCTGGCGTCAAATACAATTTTGTTAGATTTTCGACTTTTCTCCGAGAAAAATCGTTTTTTTTGTTTTAGTGTTCCAAATCCCACTTAAATTAATTTTTTTTGGTTTTTTAAGTACTGACGAATAAAGAACAAAAAATAAACCTATTTATACCTTTTTTTGATTTTATAAAAACAATATACGTATTGTTTTCGGTTTTTTTTCTAACATAAAAAAAAAAACTTGAAATGCCGACATAGGGACGTATTTTTTTGTTTTTTCTCAGCGATATTAAAAAATAATAATTTTATACACCCTCTTGTATAACATTGTAATATTTATTAGATATTGCGTTATACATATTTAATATTTGACTTTCGTTTATATTACATTATTAAAATATCGAATAATTCCGGACAATAATTTTTTGAAACAATATGTTGAATTTTATTAATATTACGAAATTCCAATATTTATTAACTAGTAAGAAATTTAATAAATACGGTCGCCATTGTAGTTACGGCTTTGTCGGGTTCGAACCGCGAACTCCGAGTAAACCTGCCCAAGTACCTAAGGCCTAACCTAAGTATAGTTGTACTATTTTACAGCTATAATATGACGACACCACTGTCTCTAGAGGTCATGGGTTAACAGGGGATATGGGTTCCGGGGATTTGCCTCCCTGACGAAATTAAAAAAAAAAATAGACTGCATATTTAGGTAAGTTTCACAAGCAGAAAAAAATCGTAAAACATTATCGGGCGTGAAAAAACCGTGAAATTTATTTTCTGTTTCGGCTTTTACCTAGGAGTATTATGCCTATGCCTCTCAATAATAATAGTCGCAGCAGGTATACGATATAATGATATATGTTTAATGTTAATTTTCTTCGCCTGAACCGATATAGATTATAATAAATAGGAAAGTACTCGTTTTACAATGTATGCTACGGATTTTCGTCATAATTATATGGGTTGTCTCACAAAGGTCCCACCAATTGTAATATCTCCGGATATAATAAAGATAATCAAATTCTAGGGTTTTTTTTTGAATATTATTCAAAGGGATAAGGTCTACAAATATTTATATTGCAATTAATTTTGTATGCTTTGATACAAAAACTTGAAAAAATAACTCTTAATTTTATTACTTTTGAAAAATTTGAAGATGTAACCATTTTATAGTTTTGACGTATCGACATTTTATTGCCATTAAATTCGTGATATTAAATATATTTCCAATAATAATTATGCAGTCATTATTATTACGATTAATTGACTGTACACTTCTTTTATCCGGACTTTAAAACACTTATTGAAAATCACGAATTTAATAAAAATAAAAAGTCTACACGTCAAAATTCCCAAAAGAATAAACTTTATAAAATGGCTATCTCAGAATTTTTAAAAAGTAATAAAATAAGTTTTTCTTCATCAAAGCATAAAAAAAATTTATTGCAATATAAATATTTGTAGTTCTTATCTCTGTGAGTGAAACAAAAAAAAAAAAAACAACCCAGAATTCGATTATCTTTACTGTCTCTCTCCGGATATAATACAATGGGTATATCTTCGTGAGACACCCTGTAGAAGTGTAGCTAATAACGAACGGGTCTCGCGGAAACATGCCGCGGACAGCCGGTAAAATCGTCGTGACAGTGACGTATTATTTTCCACCAAAAATTAATATTATTTGCAGCTGCAGGAGAGTGTCGGATGCGTTTTTGCGGTTTGTGTGGCGGACACGGCGGTTTAATGTGGTGCTCCGCCTACTCGTCTCTGCCGAGCAAAATATAAAAAAAGGAAATATCTCGTCGACGGACTGACGAAAACCGAAAACGCCCGAAAATAAACGAAAATACTCGATATCAAATGTTATTATTAATACTCCGTCTGTTTGTGAAATTTCCAATATGTATTGATTGCCGTTCGAAAATGAAAATTCTGAATTTCCACGCTCAAAAATGAGGGCGACAAAACGCGGCGTTTACGTAACGTTTCAAAGCTGCTTGTTTATTAAATTATCAGAAACAATTCGTTTCGAAACGTCGAGTGCGGCCATCTAAATGGATCGCCTCGTATGCATAATACATTTAATAATGTAATGTGATGAGAAAAAAAATGTGTTCTGTGCGGACGGAAATTCGGACGAGAACTCGAAGTCTGCGTTTTTCGACGGTTTGAACCGACAGCAGTGGGGAATCTGTTTGACCACAAAAACTCGCTATAAGACGTCGTGTTGACGAAATTCGTATCGAAAAGATATTATGTCGACTTATAAAAAGTCCGTGACACTGAAGTAAGTCAAATTGTTTTTAGAAAGTCGCGCACTCGCTACACGTTTCACCGTGTAATTAATTTTCTCGGACTATTTTTGTCGCGAATCGTGTAAATGGTTTTTTGTCGTACCTAGATTTATGTACGCAGGCGCGTACCTATTTTCGTGTGAACAATATTCTTTTGCGTATTTTTGTCCCCGATATCAATATTTAGACTAAAAAGTGATGTCGTGTTCGAAATATTTTTAATAAAGAGTCGCTTAACAGTTGCCGCGTTCATGTATTAGAGGACATTTTAATCATCGCACCGAGTTAAATCGGTAATTTCCGACAGTCGGATTTAAGAACGCGAAAATACTCTACCATACCTATTGCCGGTACATTGTGCATTTAAAATCCACAGAAAAGCGCTTAAAAACGTCAAAAAAGACCTGAATTTTTTTTTTTTTTTTAAATTAAAAATGATAGAGGATTCATAGTAATTTAAAATTCTCACCCCTCCCCTTTATAACGGAATGAACCTTTAAATGCGATTTTTAGCACTACAAAACGATTAACACAATTTCGTTTAAAAACATGTATTAATCATATTTGTAAAGTTCAAAAATAGTGTTTTATAAGTTAGATCCGTTATAGAGGGGAGGGGATAAAATTAAAAAACATACTGCTATTTTTCGTTTTTTTTTTTTAAGCGCGTTTTCAAGGCTTTTATGACGTTTTTGATCGCTTTTTTGTGGATTTTAAGTGCGTAAAATCCCTAGCTGATTAAGGTTATTAATAATCATAATTTGAATGTACATAACATGTGTAGGTGACATCGATTTAAATCGAATTTAAATCTATACGAACACTATCGTTGCGAAATTCTACGTGAGGTCGGGAAATTGTTTTTTTTTTTTTCGTTCAATAGTTTTTTTAACAGTCGTAATATATGTAAATAAACGAAACGAAAAAAAAATCCCCGCGTGAATATTTTAAAGACGTTATTAGCCCAACAATAAATGGACTAAACTATTATAGGTCGGTATCATGTCAGTTACTCTGTAGCAGGTATTGTAAATTACACTCTTTGAAATTAAATAAAGACCTTTTATAAATGGCAAGTCGGGAATATTTTATAACAATGATTCCATCAACCGGAAAAATAATTTCAAGGAATACGGGAGAGGACGTAGATTTTTTTTTAGACAATTTCGACTTGTCAGCAATAACAATAATAACTGTGGTGAAAAAAGAGTAATTGTTCACTGTTTAAATTTAAAAGATAACGGGACCAGAATTTATCGGAACACGTAGAGATGAAATGGGAAGACGCCAAATGGCAGATTGAAGAAAACTTTACAGTAGTATTGGGAACGGAAAATTACTTAGAAAACAATCGAATACAAATAAACTATAGCAGTTATTGGGGACGGGTGGTACCTATATTACTAATGTTGAACGTAGAGAATTGGCAAAGTAGGATGCACATAAAGTTATTCGATTTATATTTGTGAGCAACGGTGATAAAACCATTGCTAACGAAGTACGATTCAGAGTGAAGTTCGGCTAAACGTGTTTTTTTTTTTTTTTAGTGATTTCGTAATTTTTACGATTTCCGTCACAATTGTTTGTTCTGAAACGCGCATAAAAAAAAAAAAAAAAAAAAAAACAAACTACTACCTAGACATTAAGCTCCACTTTTTTTGTTTTTACCACTAAGTTATAACGAAATTCGTTTTAAGTTCAAGGCATTTTGGTTCGGCCGAATAATTTTAATAAACCGAGTAAAAGCTAGAAAATGCCGAATGCCTATAAAAAACTCAACAACTGCCAGAACTTTTAGAAAATGCCATCGTGCCTATGCTATTTCGGAGCGAGATTATTGATAGAAAAAATAAAAAATTGGTAGAAAAAAAATATACTAAAAGTATACGGAAATAAGCCGGACGTAAAAAAAAAAACGTGCTCCGGAATATTGAATTTAATTCCTTCACATATTATATTATAATATTTCCAACGTGTATCCGAAATCCTTAATATTGATACGGTTTTTTTTTTTTTTTTTTTTTTTTTTTTTTTTGTAATACTTTACGCGCTCCTGTAAATATAATAGTAGGTACATCGGCGTTGTAAAAAAAAAAAAAAAAAATACACAACAAAATATGTATATCGAAAAACGAGTTCGCGAAATATACTTTATCGTATCCGTTAGGTGAGGTATTACGTCTAAAAATTTTTTTATAATATTCGCGATAATTTTTCCATCCCGGATATTCGAAAAAGAACAGTTATAAACAAATTATCGTTGTGTTTTTTTTTTTTTTTCATGTCCGTTAATCGAAATTTTGGAAAAAAAAACAAAGGACCAAATAAAATAGTACTCGTAATAATCAACAAGTACAAAAAAAATAAATAAAATCTTTTTTCTCGTCAGTATAATAATACATTTTATACTCGGGGGGAAAAAAAAAAAATACCGTTTCGGTATAATTATAATATTTTTTTTTTTTTTTTTTTTTTTTTTTTTACAACACCGTGATATATTTTTATACTTACG